ACCCTCTTCCTAAATTCACTACGTTCAATTACCCACCATAGACTCCGGTCAGTCAAAATTACTATTTTGAACTGTAAGCATAGTCAGACGGTGGCGGGTTTTCCGAGCAAACAGAAAAAGGATGAAAGTCCGGGATGAAATACAATAATCACTCAACACCCTGGTTAAGGCCCAAGAAAGGGTGGTGTCTTACCTTGCCTGTGCTGTCCCTGGACAGGGTTCGATGTGCCGAGAAAGCTAGACCCCAACCCAATACTGGGGGCAGTAAGCTTTCGAAGTATAGACCGAAACAGTTCTGCATGAGGGCATAGGACGCAAAGCGGGACCTGGGAGCTTCCAGGGGAGTGCTGAGGGTAGAGAAATCTGTCCGCATAAAATGCCAAGACTGACTTGCGCAGGAACCCTTGTGGTCATTCGGGCTGGGTCAGCAAACCAAGACTGACCCGCTACGACGGGACCCAACCTATAGAGACCTTCCACAATGGATACGGTGTCTGTTAGGTGGTAGTTCATAAAGACATTCTGTGTTCTCCAGAAGCCTGCCCTCCGTGTATGCTTGAGGGGGGGTCACCTGACGCTAGCACTAGTGAGTTAGCAATCGCACAGACCTCATGTGCTCGTACTTGGTGTCTCTGCAAGCTCAGTGTCGAGGAAGTTAAAGTATTATAGACCTCTAATACAGTCGCAGTAAACCACCTGGTTATGGAAGTTGGGGAGGCCGGCCTATCCTGCCTGCCTGGGCAGTAACACAAAGACATATCATGTGCCTGGCACCCAGTCCTGAACCCTTAGTACGGTTTGGTAGCAACTCTGTGCTCGAACCAGGCAGAGAAGCAATTCCTCCTGACCTTCCGGGCAGACAAAATTTGACAGCCGGGGAATGACGATCGGGTGAGGATCGTGTCCTGGGATTTGGTTCTAGGAGAGAAACCCGATTCGTGTCTTTCGTCCATGACGGCAGTACATCATCCGAGAAGGACAATGGCCCCAGCTCTGGTTGACGCCTACCTGAGGCGAGGGCCAGTAGGAAGACTATTTTCTACGTCGAAAAATTTGTGTGGTACTGATCAGAGAGACTCAAAGGTCAGTCTGCTTAGAGCGGACAACACAGCCAACAAGTCCGAGTTGGGCGGTTCCCTTGTCTGGAAGGCAGTAAATAGTCTCCTAATAATAGGACAATCAGCTAGTCAAACAAGTGGATGAAGGAGCCTGCTACGTGGCCAATAGAGGGATGGTATGGATCAATCTCCCTTCCGCTACACCAATCAGTGTATGCTCGTAGCCTAGAAATGTAGGCTGCATTGGTGGAATACCTGTTCGCCCTGGCCAGGACGTTGGCAGCCTGCTCAGATAAAACTTTCGTATGTGCGAGTCTAATGAGAGCCTCTATGCATGTAAGTGATACCCGCTCGTTGGTAGTGCTCCGTCTGGTTGGGATGGCAGGTCTGGTAAGTCTAGCGTACACAACCAAGTGGGTCCACGGGGTTAGCAAATCGACCCTGGCCCAGGTTCCTGGAGTCGGCAGGAGTGTTACGTACGTCGGGAGCTTGGCGATCCGGCAAACCGGTCTAACCTTGGACCGTCCCACAGCCGAAACAGCCTGGAGGCTTGTATCAGCCACCCAGTGTTCAGGAGACGGAGCCGCCCTGAAAGGGCATTTGCCAGACTGTTCCTCACCCCTGGAAGGTGGTGTGGGGTTAGCTCCACATTGTATTCCAGGCACCAAAGAAGGATTTGCTCCGCTAGAACTGACAACAATGAGGAACGCGTCCCCCCTCCTTCTTGAAGGAGACCACCGCTGCATTGCCTGTGTGGAGCAGAACTATGTGGTCTTGAACTACGGGTAGAAAGCGTGGTAGTGCTAAGTATACTGCTTTCAGTTTGAGCTGCTTGATATGGTAGTCCCGAAACTAATGCGGGGACCATATCTTAGGACTTGTTCGTCCAGTAGATATACTCCCCAACCTTGGGAGGAGGCATCAGTTACCTCATACCTGCGGCGAGCGAATCCACGGCGGCCCTCTATCCGAGGTTGGCCAGTGACGGCCACTAGAGCAGGACTTCCTTCACTTGGTCCCAGATCAAAACCCACCTATCTTGTTCCCATAGGAGAGCTTGGCGTTATAACAAGCGTTATACCGAGCGGCTGCGGCCTGGGGAACCACCTTCGAACCGAGGTGATCATTCCGATGATCCGCATTAGTTCTCGGAGGGACACTGAGAAACGCTGACTAGGCGTTCGGCTAGACTGCTTAGCGCTAAGTAACATGCTTGCAATAGCTAAACCAAGCTTACCTCTGTGTCAAAACTCCATGCCCAGGGACACCAACTGCACGTTGGGTCGAGGTGGGACTTGTTGATTTACTAACGAGCCCAACTGGTGAAGTAAATCCTGTGTTAGCCTGACGTGTTTGGCTATTGACCCCTTGTCCGGGTTGTGTAGTAACCAGTAGTCTGGGTACGGATTGAGGTGTACCAAAATTTGGTGAAGCAGCAGCACTACCTGTTTCATCACTCTGGTGAACATGTAGGGTGCTGTGCATAACCCGAACAGGGGGCACCCAAAATTTGAATACTTGGCCCAGCGATTCGAAGGAGATGGCAACTCGCTGGGTGCATCGGTATGTGCAGGTAGGCCCGCTTAAGTCAGTGGGGCTAGCCAGTAGAAACGGTGGATGGAGAGAAGAACCCTGAATGGTGTCTCCATGTGGAACCGATCAAGAAGCACATAATGATTCAGTCTGCCTAGGTACAGAACTGGACACCCGCCACTTGTAGGTTTGGTACTACGAACACATTTGGGTAGAAGCCTGGATTTAGTTCCGGCTGATGTACCCTGTATATGGTGCCTTTTCCCAGCAAACTACTACTTCCTGTCGAATTGCTTCCACCTTGCGGGAGTCTCCTGGCAGTGCCCAACAGGGGAGATACTGACGGGGAAGATGGAAATTTCAGCGGTATCCCGTAACCAGATGTCACCACCTGGGAAGGTCCAGGGATCGGTCACCCGCTGTCTCCAAACGGGACTACATCGGCGTAATCCGTGTACTACAGAGATATGTGGCCATGTGCCCTGCCCTGAAAGCCCTGCCCCGCAATCGGAGTATTGGCTGCCAGCACCCCGTTGGCATTCAGTGCCCGAGACTCCAGAGGAGCCCCGGTGCAATTAGCCTGAGTCTCTGCCTCACCCAAATTAGTGGGAGAGCCACAGCTGGGAACTGGTGTTCCCTGGAAGAGACGTGTTAGAATGCAAACATGCTTTCGTGTTTCTTCCTGCTTGCCCACCAAGGGGCCACATTGGAGACAGCTCGCTCCGACTGCGTCTGATCTACTCGGCCTGCCAGGGATGCAATTGCCCTGACAGTCCTTCGGCCAAAGCCCTCAACTCAGAGGCAAACCTGACGCCGTGCGAGGAAGGGTCCACAAAGGGACCCGCAACGAGCCCCATAGGAGGAAAGCCTCCAGGGGCACAGCCTCGCTGCAGCCGGTAAAATTGGGTAAACCACCGCCTGAAAAAACAGACTGTGACGATGCCCTCCGATCAGTTGGTACCTCCACCATCGGGCCTCCTACTCGACGTCCTGATACACAAAGCACCGGCAGCCGAGTCTGAGGACTTTCCACTCATGCCAAACACGCACTCACTTTAACCGATTTCTTTACTGGCTGCGCGACCTTGCTGTGAAGAAAAACGAGCGACACGGTCAGTCTCAGCGATTTTGATGGCTCTGAAAGAAAATCTCAGGCCTCAGAACTCCAGTGAAAACCACACGTCTTTACGGCAAAAACCCCGAACCCCGCACACAGCTATGACAAAAGTATTTCAAATGCAGGTTCTATGCTGTTGAATTCTAAATATAACCACTGCACAGTCGACTCGAAATACGAGGGGATCCCAAAAAAATGGCAGCGAGCCCTGGTGCTGTCATTACATCTATTCATTTCTAAATACATAGATCAAGCATAAAATGAAGACGACCTGCATGAGG